CTGCCTGATCCGGACCTCTGCTGACTTCTCCTGCTTTATCCCTGGCTTGTGACCCCGACCATTCTCTGCCTGACCCCCCTGTACCTATCATGCCTGATGACCCAGTGCCCGCTGTCAAGCCAGACGATCCGGCGCCAGATGACCCGGTGCCCGCTGTCGTGCCAATTGACTCAGAGCCCACTGTCGTGCCTGGTGACTTGGTGCCCACTGCCTTGCCAGATGACGCGGTGCCCGCTGTCGAGCCAAATGACCTGATGCCTGGTGACCCGATGCCCGCTGTCCAGCCAGACGATCCAATGTCTGACCAGTGCCAGCGGTCATGCCAGTTGACTCGGTACCTGTCGCCCCGCCTGGGGGCCCGGCGCCCGCCGCCCCGCCTGGGGGCCCGGCGCCCCCGCCCGCCGCCCCGCCTGGGGGCCCGGCGCCCGCCGCCCCGCCTGGGGGCCCGGCGCCCCGCCTGGGGGCCCGGCGCCTTCTGCCCCGCCTGGGGGCCCGGATGTGCCTCTGCCCGGGTGATCCGATGTGCCTCTGCCCGGAGTCCAGCCCGATGTGCCGCTGCCCGGAGTCCAGCCCGATGTGCCGCTGCCCGATGTGAGTGCCCCAGCCCGATGTGCCGCTGCCCGGAGTACTGCCCGATGTGCCGCTGCCCGATGTGCCGCTGCCCGGAGTCCAGCCCGGTGTGCCTTTGCCCGGAGTCCTGCCCGGTGTGCCGTGCCCGTCCTGCCCGGTGTGCCGCTGCCCGGAGTCCAGCCCGGTGTGCCGCTGCCCGGAGTCCAGCCCGGTGTGCCGCTGCCCGGAGTCCAGCCCGCTGTGCCGCTGCCCGGAGTCCAGCCCGGTGTGCCGCTGCCCGGAGTCCAGCCCGCTGTGCCGCTGCCCGGAGTCCAGCCCCGGTGTGCCGCTGCCCGGAGTCCAGCTGTGCCGCTGCCCGGAGTCAAGCCCGTGTGTGCCGCTGCCCGGAGTCCTGCCCGGTGTGCCGCTGCCCGGAGTCCTGCCCGTGTGCCGCTGCCCGAGTCCTGCCCGATGTGCCGCTGCCCGGAGTCTAGCCCGATTTGCCTCTGCCCGGAGTCCTGCCCGGTGTGCCGCTGCCGCTGCCCGGAGTCCTGCCCGGTGTGCCGCTGCCCGGAGTCCAGCCCGGTGTGCCGCTGCCCGGAGTCCAGCCCGGTGTGCCGCTGCCCGGAGTCCAGCCCGGTGTGCCGCTGTGAGTCCCGCTGCTGCCCGGAGTCCAGCCCGGTGTGCCGCTGCCCGGAGTCCAGCCCGGTGTGCCGCTGCCCGGAGTCCAGCCCGGTGTGCCGCTGCCCGGAGTCCAGCCCGGTGTGCCGCTGCCCGGAGTCCAGCCCGGTGTGCCGCTGCCCGGAGTCCAGCCCGGTGTGCCAGTCTTTGATATCCCGCCAGTTACCAGACCCGGGCGGTGGAACATTTTGCCCAGCTAGGACTGTTTGGAGCGTCCTGAGGCCGCTCCTTGAGGGGGGGGGGTACTGTTAGGAATGGACTTGCCAGTAATGGTTGGACTCACCTGCCTTGTGGGCTGCAGTACCAGGGCTGGCCAGCGGGTGCTCCCAGCAATCAGAGACTCAACCCTGCAGCCAGCCAAACACCTGAAACTGCTTAGGCAGGTGTATTTAAGTGATGGCCAGACCTGCAGTCTTTGCCTTGGTGTGTGTTTTTCCTGGGCCCTGTATCTTGTTCCTGCATCCCTGTTCCTGTCTCTGTCTGATTCGTTGCTGACCCTGCCTGATCCGGACCTCTGCTGACTTCTCCTGCTTTATCCCTGGCTTGTGACCCCGACCATTCTCTGCCTGACCCCCCTGTACCTACCTGCCCGATTGTTATTGACCCGGCCTGCCTGACGACGCTTGCATTGTATGTATTATCTGTGGGTGGTTTAGTTCGTTTGCACTGTGTTATGTTTTAGTATTGCACTGCGTTTATGTTTGTATTGTTAGTCTTTAATAAATTATATTGTTTATAACTTATCTGAAGCCTGCGTTTCCCTGCGTCAGTCACATACCTCTGGTCATACCCTGGAGCCCTGACAGGGACCTTGCAGGCACTGCAGGATTTCAATCCTTGTTGGCGTAGTGGGTTACCAATTGTTTTCTTGGTGACTGTGGTCCCAGCTGCCTGAAGATCATTGACAAGATCCTCACATGTAGTTCTGGAATGATTCATCACTGTTCTCATGATCATTGACACTCCACGAGGTGAGATCTTGCATGGTGCACCAGACCTAAGGAGACTGACAGTTGTTTTGGTTGTCTTCCATTTGCGAGTGATTGCACCAGCTGTTGTCACCTTCTCACCCAGCTGCTTGGTGATCGTTTAGTAGCCCATTCCAGCCTTGTGTAGGTCTACAATCTTGTCCCTGACATCCTTGGACAGCTCTTTGGTCTTGGCCATGGTGGAGAGTTTTGAATCTGATTGTTCGATTGCTCCTGTGGACAGGTGTCTTTTATACAAATAACAAAATGAGATTAGCAGCAGTCCCTTTAAGAGACTGCTTCTAATCTCAGCTTGTTACCTGTATGAAAGACACCTGGTAGCCAGAAATCCTGCTGAATGATAGGGGATCAAATACTTATTTCCCTTATGAACATGCAAATCAGTGCATAACTTGTTAGACATGTATTTCTTTAGAATTTTTTTTTACTTGCTATCCTGTCTCTCTGTGTTACTATACACCTACCAATCGATTTTTAGACTGATCATTTCTTTGTGAGTGGGAAAACATTCAAAATCAGCAGGGGATCAAATACTTATTTCCTTCACTATATATCACATCACTATGATCACATCAGCAGCATAAGGGGCTTCGAGAGCTTGGTGTGGAGACAGGAGGAGATGAGTGTGAGCAGGGGCAGAGAGATAGCAGTACATAGGAAAGCAGGGGGACTGGCAGCATCACCACTTATAGCACACACAGAAAGCAATGTAGAGGAAAAAGAATGCTATTTAATACAAGTACATAGTAGCAGATACATCAAGAATATGTAAAGTTGGGGTAACATACACTTTAATCCTTTTGTTTGCCAGTATCCAAACCACCTTTAGATGGCAGCACAAGGCAACAGTTTAGGAATTGCTGAATTCTTGCATTTCTCAGTGGGTGATAAAGAACAATAGAGATATGGAGGCAGTCATACTGGAGATGCCTAAAAGGTAGTGAGGGCCTCGAGATCCAGAATAGGGCAATCAAATACATTTTCTTGGGTAGGATCAAGAGGTTGAAATAAAACCATGAAACATTCCCAAGATATAGGAAATACCATTTCCTAGGTGACAAAGCCAGTTGAGGCAGGAAATCCTCCAGAACAGGAGATAGCAGTTGTGAGCAAGTTATACTAGCACCATTTTACTGCAGAAAGATGAATCAGAAGATTGAAAAGAAAGTGACCTGCAAGCATCATTCAGCAACATAGCCAAAACACTACTAAAAACTTGAGCGTATGCATAACAGAGGAACAGTCACTAGTTTTTTTTATAGTTTCTAAACCTCCTTGGGTGGGAGTTTATAAGTTAAATAAAAGATTGGCATGTGCTCAAATGAATGCTAAAAGAAAAGTGTTTTGTACTCTGCATAAAAAAATCTCAAAGCGGAACTTCGTTCTCTCATTTAACATTGACATTGATTCAAAATAATCCTTATGCTGCTAGCATTAGTAAATAGATAAGTATAGATTATATACTTTCCTGTTTTAAACAGGTTTTTTTTACATTAATTTAGTTACTTCCTAGTTTCCATGCCTAGGCAAACAATGTCATACATCCCAAGAGTCTTCATAAGGTGAGGGAAATTTACTCAGCTAAGCTTCCTGCATCCTTGAGCTTAGGGAAGATGAATTCCAGGAACGAACTAAATGCTACATAATTCATCTGCCCTTATTCAAGATGGCCACAGCCAGAAATGCTAGAGAGTTATTCTAAGTGATTTCTTAACAAATTAAAGCATGGAGTCAAGGATGGATGGGGGAGTTTGCTTTGAATATTAAACATTAATCAAATAGTGCTTTTGGTTTGTGGTGCGGAGATACAGCGTAGTTCCGCTTTAAAATATATGCAGGGACACAGGAAGCCATTCACCTTTAGGATATACTGCTGCCTACAAGAGAAATGGACACTGAAAAAAAAAAAAAAAACTCAAGATAAGCGCTAATCTACCACCAGCATGCCTTAGTTTTGTAGCAAGCCATACAGAGGGCATAACTATAAACACAGAGGGGATGTGACCTGTTCTCCTTTAAGGGCTCCATGCAAGGATTTTTCATTCAGTACAAATATCCTATTTTTCTTCTTCCACGAGAGACACAAAACGTAACTAACCTTTAGGACATCCCAAAAGCAGTCCCAACTGAGGTGGGTAGCCAGACAGCAAACAAGTGCAAAACAGGCCTAAGAAAAGAGGGGAAAAAAGTATGGCCTGCTTGCAGCTCTAAGCCACCTAAAGACTTTACGCCCAGAGCTGGCATCAGGTGAGGCCAAAAACACTCACACTGTGAACAAGGACCAGACGGCAGCATTGCAAATCTAGGAAACAGTTGCTCGATCCTAAAAAGACCAATAAGCATGCACAGTTCTACTAAAGAGTGGGTCTTAATTGAAAAATATAAATAAATTGGTGCTAGTAAACCGAGCTACTTTTTTGACAGTAGGAAAACAAACGAGGCAGGCTGGTAGAAGGAGGGGTAAATCCAGGGCTAGCACAGATTTGCTTTTTTTTCCCCCAGTGTGTGGTCCTCCTTTAGGCAGTAGTAAACCCAAGATAGGGAAAACATCCTGTATCCCTCAATGGATGAAAAAAACGGAACTTAAAAGTCTAAACTGAAGTAGATCATTTAACCTGTTACGCATTTTAACATTTTTTGAGAATCCATTGAACACAAAAGAAAAGAACATTTGGCTGAGAAAGAGCTATAGGTATAGCTATATAGAATGTTATCCTTTTCATCAGCACACAAGACATGCACAAAAAAAAAAAAAAAAAAAAGATCTAAATACATAAATACCTCAATGTCTTCAATAATTTTGGGATATAAGGACCGATAAAATGAATTTGGCGGACCATCGTTCGGTCTGTTTTTAAATAAATACTGATCCCTGGGGGAAAACAAGAAAACAATAAAAAAAATTACAGATGATTCAGTATTCAAATTCAAAGGAACAAATAAGAAAATAACACATTTTGGCTTTGTCTAAACGAATACACAACCAAATCTCAAAACAGCTGCAAGAATTAATCTTGCTTCTCAAACGTTAGGTTTAAAAAAAAAAAAAAAAAAAAGGTAACAAAAGCAGTCAAATGTTAAAAAGAATATGTAAACCCTCACCCTGATTCATTTTGAAATACAGGCATACCTTGGTTTACGAATTTAATTCATTCTGTGGGACTTTTCGTATAGCGAAAAATTTGTCATTTCCCATAGGAATGCATTGAAAACCAATTAATCCGTTCAGAGGTCAGAAAAAAGCAAACGCTACTAAAATACAGCATGAGTTATTTTATCAAGTCATGCTGTATTTTAGTAGTGACAATCATGTGTTAAATGTTGCAGCTGTCAGCGGGGTTCCCCACTGACAGCTGAATGTAAAAGAATTGCCGGATATTAAAAAAATAATTTAAAAAAACAGCGTGGGGTTCCCCCTCCCATCCATACCAAGCCCTTCCGGTCTGTTATGGATTTTGAGGGGAACTCCCACGCCAAAATTAAAGAAAAAAAAATGGTGTGGGGTCTCCCCCTCAAAATTCATAGCAGACCTTTATCTGAACATGCAGACTGGCAGGTCAGCAAAGGGGGGGGGGGGGGTTTGGGGACGAGCGAGCCTCCCCTCCTGAACCATACCAGGCCACATGCCCTCAACATGCGGGAGGGATTTGGGGCAGGGGGGACCCCAGTGTGCCTGCTCCAGTGGTTTGACAGTTCTTAAATACGTAAGGGGCAGGGCCACCCAGGGACATCATGCATGTGACCCCACCCCATGTGACATCAATGGCATCATACTACACATTTTGTTTTTTGTGAATCAGTAGCGAGACCATGTACCCCATACTCATTCACATGGGGGGGCTGGGATCTAGGGGCCGATAAGCCCCCTGCCCACAGATCCCCACAACCACCTGCCCCAAAGCACCCCCCCATGTTGAGGGCATGTGGCCTGGTATGATTCAGGAGGGAGGGGGGCCTCATACTCGGATAAGGGTCTGGTATGGATTTTAGGGGGGATCCCAACACCATTTTTAAAAAAAAATTGGCATGGGAGTTCCCCTCAAAATCCATACCAGATCCGAAGGGTTTGGTGTGGATGGGGGGGGACCCCACACCACGTTTTTTATTTATTATGGTGCTGGTTTTTAAATGTAATAAACGCTTTTTTTTTCTTCACTATAGCTCAGAGATTCAGCTGTCACTTTCCCCCCAGCTAAAAGAGAAAAAGTTTCCTTTTAGTTTACTTCCCTGAAGTTAAAAGAAACAATGTTTCCTTATAGTTTCTAAAAAGAAACAAAAAGTTTTCTTTAACTCCAGGGAAAGTGACAGCTAATTCTGTGAGCTATAGTGATGAAAAAAAAAAGCCAGCAATTGCATTTAAAAATCAGCACCAACATACACTCCATATTGCGAATAAAATTAGTAAACTATGGCATTTCAATGAATTTTCATTCGTAAACCGAAATTTACGTTAACCGAGGCATTTGTAAACCGACGTACACCTGTAGAAGTGAAAGGTAAAAAACATTTTATATACATACATATTCAACCCCCAATGCTGTAAAGGGGTTTAGGGACTAAGATACATTATAAATATACCATTTTACCCCCCTTTACAGTAGAAGTTTCTTCATTGCCACAATTATTCAACCCCTTTACATAGGTGCTTTCCATCCTTTGGATGTCACCGAGCAGCAATCAAGCATAATAGCAATTAGGCAGCTTTAAAAAACTGGAGCTACTGGGGGATGGTAGAATGGTCCAGGAAGACAGGTGATTTCTCTTCACAGGAACACTGGCCTTCCCAGAGAACGGCTGTGCAGTAGGGCACTGTCAGCACAAGTGTGATCACTGGATTAGCAGAAGTTTCCCAGCAAAGATAGAAAACTGACCACACAAAGAATAAAGAAGAGTGCTCTCATGTGCCTTGTGTTGTCATTTAATAGGAAAGCAGAAGGACTGGCAAGAACACCAGATATTTCACACAAAGAGAACAGGATACTTTCTCATACAAGTACATGGTACAGCAGGAATATGACATGTCAGGTTTACATATTCTTTAAGAAATGAACACAGGTTCAAGACATGTTCTACATACTGAAAGTACAAATTGTTCTTGCCTATTTTGTACATATAACCAGGCACAATTATAAGCAAGATGACTGAATGGGAAAGGACATGCGCAAGCCATAGAGAACAACGGCAGCCTGACCAGTATGTGCTCCAAGTTAATGTATGTAAATGCAAACCCTTGTGCAGACCTGTAAGGCAGTCCAACGTCCAATTGAAGGTGTTACAGAGGACAACTCTGCTGCCAAATTGTGAAGCAGCATCTTTTAGCGATGTAAGCCTTCAAAAGGAAATTAGACATGCTTACTGCAAAAGCCTCCAATGTGCTCCAAAAGAAAAACTTTGCAATGGATTCATAAAGATGATATGTTTAAGGAAACGTATAAAGCCATAATGCCAAACAATGATTTTGTTTTAATTTTGATTTACATACACTTAATAAATTCTAACGGATTTGGTGGATGATATGGTTTTTTGCAAAGAAGCGGTTTTTTCAGTAGACTTTACCTCTGTAAACATAAATATTTATTTTTTGCCATCTATTTTTTAACCACCTTCCGCCCGCCCTATAGTACAATAACGGGCGCAAGGTGGTTCTCTCGTTCTGATAGGACGTCATATGACGTCCTACGATTCTCACTGCGCATGCGTGGCTCAGGGAGCACGCAGCGCGGTGATCGCCAGTGCTCTGTGTCCCTCGGACACAGCGGATCACGGAAAGAGCCGAAGATGTCGGCTCGGTCATGTGATCAGCTGTGTCCAATCACAGCTGATCACATGTAAACATGGAAATGCCGGTTATCAGCATTTCTCTCCTCTCGAGCTGTCACGCTGACAGCTCGAGAGGAGAGGAGAGCCGGTAATTGGTTTTCGGCGGAGGGGACATGTACATTGATGATCAGTGTGCCCTGATGATCAGTGTGGCCCCAGAAGTGCCGCCGTCAGTGCCATATATCAGTGTCATGTATCAGTGCTGCTTTCAGTGCCCATCAGTGATGCCTGTCAATGCCCATCAGTGCAACCTACCAGTGCCTCATCAGTGCCACCTATCAGTATAGCCTATATGTGCCCATCACTGCAGCCTCATTAGCGCACATCAGTGAAGGAGAAAAATCACTTATTTACAAAATTGTATAACAAAAACTAAGCAAAAAGGGTTTTTTTACAAAATTTTCTGTGTTTTTGGTTTGTTTAAAAAAAAAATAAAAATCCCAGAGGTGATTAAATACCACCAAAAGAAAGTTCTATCTGTCTCAAAAAAATGATAAAAATTTCAGATGGGTACAGTGTTGCATGACCGTGCAATTGTCATTCAAAGTGTGACAGCGCTGAAAGCTGGAAATTGGCCTGGGCAGGAAGGGGGTATAAGTGCCCTGTAGGCTAGTGGTTAAAATGTTGCATGCCCCTTTGGTGTGATATGGTTTGATTATATCCCAAACACTTTCAAAAGAATGGCATTACAAAAGCAAGGCTTAAAAATTGTAATTTAGGCAGACATAAAAAAGACATGTGGCTCTCTGTTCATTAACCACTTGAGCTCCAGAGGATTTACCCCCCTTAATGACCAGGCCTCTTTTTGCTACTCGGCGCTGCACTAATTCAACTGATAATTGCGCGGTCATGCAATGCTGCACCCAAACGAAATTTACGTCCTTTTTTTCACACAAATAGAGCTTTCTTTCAGTGTAATTTGATCACCTGTGCGCTTTTTATTTTTCACGCTATAAACAAAAAAAGGCCAAAGATTTTGAAGAAAAACAATATTTTTTATTTTCAGCTATAAAAAATATATAGTAAACTCAAAGTTGGTTATAAATTTAGGCCAAAATGTATTCTGCTACATGTTTTTGGTAAAAAAAAATCCCAATAAGTGTATATTGATTGCTTTGTGTGAAAGTTATAGCGTCTACAAACTATGGTATAAATACTGCAATTTACGCCATTTTTCTGCTATACAGCGCTGCGCTAGTTTAATGGACAATTGCGCGGTCATGCAATATGGTACATAAATGAAATTTACATCCTTTTTTTCCCCACAAATTGAGCTTTCTTTCGGTGGTATTTGATCGCCTGTGCGGTTTTTATTTTTTGCGCTATAAAAAAAAAAAGTCTGACAATTTTGAGAGGAAAAAAACAATATTTTGGACTTTTTGCTATAAAACATGTCCAGTAAAAAAAAAAAAATGCAAAAATCAAATTTAGTCATAAATTTCTGCCAAAATGCATTCTGCGACATGTCTTTGCTAAAAAAAAAAAAAAAAAACCAATACGTGTAAATTAATTGGTTTAAAGTTATAGCATTTACAAATGGCGGGAAAGATACTGGGATTTTTAGTTTTTTTTTTTTTTTTTATACTAATAATGGCGGCGATCAGCAAATTATGGCGGCGATTAGGGACTTATGGCAGCGACCAGCGACTTATGGCGGGACTGCAGCGGACATTCTGACATTGGGGGGTACTGACTTGGGGTCACTGACATCCCCAGTGACATCAATACAGTGATCAGTGCAAAAAAAAAAAAAAAAAAAAACTGACACTGTACTAATGGCAATGGGGAGGAAGGGGTTAACTTTATTTTGCAGGGAAGGGTTATAGGAGTGAGGGGAGTGTTTTACTAGGGGGCGGGGGTGTGTACTGGACGGGACAAGGCTGATCGAGAAAGAGAAACTGTTCTCTCTCGATCAGCTCATCCTCGAGCTGACAGGGAAGTGACAGACAGCACAGCTACTGCAGCTGTGCTCTGTCACTGTTTGCCGCCGATCACCGGGACATAGCCGCTAAGGAACGGCTGTGACCCGGCGACTGACATTTGCGGCGGTGATCCGTAGGACAGACAGGGCGGCGGCGCGCCCCCTATTTGTTTACAAAACACACGTTTTAAAACGTGGTTTTGCCTGTGAGTGCCGCCCTGCCGCCGTATATGTACAGTGGCAAGGCGGCAAGTGGTTAATAACACATTTTTATGCTGTGTTAGGCCTCATGCACACTGGACGTTATAAAACCGCCAGCAGGATTAGCTGTAGAATGCAGAGTAAAAACGCAAGTTTTTTCACTTTAAAGTTTTTGCATTTGCATTTTTTTTTAGCAAAACTATACTTCCACAAACGTTTAAGGCTCAAAAACGCTCAAACACTGGATAGCCATATTCTGCAGAGTTTTTCAGCATTAGAGCATTTTTACAGCTGAAAATGCCCTCTTTAAAAGCAGTAGTTCTGGGGGTTTTTCCAGCCTGAAAACACTCATAAAAGCCTATGTGTGCATGGACACATAGGATAACATGCTGGGGAGTTTACTGGTTGCAGAAAAAAAAAACACCAGATGCCTAAAAAAAGGCAGCTGTAAAAATGCCCAGTGTGCATGAGGCCTTCAAATGCATGCAGTGTGAGCACATGAACCTAACCTGGTATGTGCTGTGTGGAAAAGCAGTGTATTCCCAGCTAGATAGTCACAAAGGCAAATCCTTAGACAAGCAAGATTGGTAACTTATATGCATTTCATCTGTGTATTCAGCCAATTGCCTGGAGAAATGCCTTCTGCGACGCCTTTCTTAGTTATAGTTGTGTTCAGCAATGTTTATCCTCAGAGATTAATTTTTTATATGCGACGTGAGCATGTAATATCTGCATATTGCAATTAACTTTTTATATTGTATAAAAGCTTAGCAAAAAAAAAAAAATAACTTACCACCCCCTTCTTTCTGACAGGCCCTTCCAAAGTGGATCTGTGCGCACCATTCTTTCTATCAGTTTTTTCCACAACATTCCCTCTGAAATCACCCTCTGCCATTCTTTACACACAAGTTCTGCAGCACAAAGCGACCGTGCATCTAGGTAGGAGAGAATGTTTTCTGCAATATGTTCTAAGCCCTGTTCTATAAAGAAAAACAAAAATATAGATGTTAACTACACAGATCAATCAGCTGTCAACAAAAAAAACTGTACTGCAAATACTATAAGAAATGTGGTGAAGAGTGAGGTAAAGGTAACAGAGAATAAGAGCTGGTTCACAACTGTGCAGTGGGTTGCATTTTAGGTAAATTACCATTGAACACTATATATCAAAGCACAGCACCTAAAACGCACAGGTGTGAGCAGGACCTAAAAGCACTTGCTAAAACTCCACCTCACTTATCCAGCTAGAAAAGAAGTTGTAACTTGGGAAAATGAGTAGACAAGTTTGGTTTTCAGAAACAAGTGTGTTCCCACTGTACTAATCTACTTCTCCAATAGCTTGCCCTCACTGCCCAGAAGATATTTCACTGCCACAATATGACGGGGCTAACTCAGGAAAGGTTCTGTGTAGAGGCCATTGATACAACACAAATATTTAAGGATCCATGCACACTAGCATTTTCTTAAGCCCTAGAAGCTGTTATTAGCATTTCTTTTCTGCTCCTAGAAGCTAAATAGTGTTATTTTTCCATAAAAAAAAAAAAATGTTAAACCCTTTTAACAGATTTTTTATTCTTCTACATGCACTGCAAAAATGTTAATGCTCCCTAAAAATTTATAAACGCTACCAAAACACTACTAAAAAATGCTATTATTGGCAGTTTTGGAGATTTAAAAAAAAAAAAAACCATAGTGTGCATGGAGCCTTAAATACTACATCCCCCAGACCACACTTGCTTGATACTTTGCAATATTAAGATACACATGGCCCCAAGAGAGGGTAAAGAAATTCATTTCCTACGGTTACTGCAGCTAACCGTGATCAGCTGGTTGCTTAAATGTTGCCAGTATAGGGAGGAAAAAAAAAAAAAAAAAGAGGTCTTGTGTTGTAGTTCTTAGCTACTACACTGTAAAAATGGCTTTCCATGTCAGCGTACATTAGTTGAAAGAAAAGCCAGACCAAGCAAATTAAGGACAATTAGTTGCAAATCAGGCTGCCTCTCATTCAGCACAGTCTCCAAGACAGATTTACAGACCTGTGGCAGCCAAGTGTGACAATTTGCAAATTAATGAGACAGATTTATTACTGAAGATGAGAGATTTTCACTCTAAACCAGGGATGTCCATCCAGCTGCCCAAGAGGCTAATAAATGCCTCCCAACATAAAATCGTAAAAAAACTTGCCCTGCAGAAGATTTACCCGCTTCCTGATCAGGCCATTTTTTGCAATATGGCACTGCGTTACTTTAACTGACAATTACGCAGTCATGCAACGCCGTACATAAATGAAATGTGTCATTTTTTGTCCACACATAGAGCTCCATGGTGGTATTTGATCAGCCTCTGTGGTTTTGACTTTTTGCATTATAAACAAAATATGGAACATTTTGGGGAATAAAAACTTTTAATTTCTACTGTGAAAACATATCCAATAAAAAAAAATGTAAAAATAAATTACATAATTTTGGTAGAAAAAAATATATTGATTAGTTTGTGCAAAAGTAATGGCGGCGATCAGCGACTTATTGCAGCTGCCATTTTTACATTGACACGGTGTTGTAACCAGGGTGGATTTGATTTAAATCAAACTGATTTAAATCACTAGTCAGTAAGGCTTGATTTAAATCAGTTTTCTACATAAAGACTAATTCTTGCTGGTATAACTTTAATATGCAAGTAGATGAAGATTTTTAGAATAACAACTTTTCATATTAGTTTTTTTATCCCCAGTTTAAAAGGTTAATCATTCATATTTGGACAACTTTTCTGTTGTACTTAGAAAGGAGAAAAATAATCATTACCGTAATAACAATTTAAATAGATTTATTAAACTGAAACAATAACATTACAGCATATGTTATTTGCTTAAACATCCATGTTTGTTAACTAATTAGGCTAAACAAAATATATATATTTTAAGAAACTTAGACTGTCAGCCCCTTCCTCCTCACACTTAGTTTCACTTTCTTCTTGTGCAGATCTATTCCACTCCAAACAATCAGAAAAATATTGTTTCTATTCTATTCACTGAACTTCTTGAAACTTAGCACTGAAGGGGTTGATTCTGTATTCATAGGTTTGTAGAAGTTAGGATTAAGGTCTTTTTCTTAACTCTGTTCATGTTATAACATTTTTGCTGTGAAGAAAGAAGCATGTGATCTCCGCTGAGTCAAATTCAGTTTTGAGAACTGCAAAAGTAAACCAAGCATCTGTGATAATATCTTGTAGGCAGAGAAACTGCCCAATAATCTTACAAAAACCTCTGGAAGAGCAAGACATTGTGAATGGATTAATGGAATGTATTTACCAAAAAAAATTAAACATATACAGCCTTATTCTACAAATTAAAAAACTAATCTTTATTTCATGATAGAATAACCTTTGGATAGTAATATATTTTCCTCAAAAAGCATTTTATTTAAAAAAAATCCGATTTAAATAAAAAAAAAACAGATTTTTTTTGATTTTTTTAAAAAAATCATTGATTTTTATCCACCCTGGTTGTAACCAGAGACACTAATACAGTGATTAATGCTAAAAATATGCACTGATCACTGTACTAATGACACTAGTTGGGAAGGGGTTAACATCTAGGGTGATCAAAGGTTTAAAGCGATTCTAAAGGTTAATTTTTATTTTTTTTTGGAAAATAAATGCTATACTTACCTGCTGTGTGCAGTGGTTTTGCATATTGCAGCCTGTATCCTCCTCTTCTTCGGACCTCGCAGGTTCTCCTGGCACTACGCTGCTGTCGGGTGCCCCCACAGCAAGCAGCTTGCTATGGGGGCACAGGATGCTCCGTGTGTTCATTCACCCCTCTCTTTCCTCATTGGCCGACTGGCTGTGATTGACAGCAGTGGGAGCCAATTGCTCCTGCTTGCTGTCTCAGCCACTGAGGAGGCAGAGACCCGGGACAGTCTAGCCTGTTGTTAACATCACTGGATCGCGATGAGGCTGAGGTCAAGTATTGAGGGGGCTGGGGGGCACTGCTACACAAGATTACACAGGTCTGCGACTAAAAAGCTGTTTGATTTTTTTCATCTAATTTCCATGTATTTTGGTGTGCTGAAAACAAATAAAATATTGAAAAAACTCCTAGACGTCATGATTTGCAACAAAATGCAAAATGGTCTTCAAATTTATAAAATGTTTTTTAATTTTTGGTATTTTTTTTATATTATGGGTTTTTAACCAAATTTAAAGTCCAAATTACTATTAATCAATTCACATAAGTGCATTTAAGATATAAAATGCCAAAAAAAACCTTAAAGGGGTTGTCCGAGTTATGTAAAAAAAATATATAGCACTGTAAATCTGATGGTCAGCAATATACTGTATACATAAGCTAAGAAAGTTTTAGGGGAAAAAAATTCTATTTCCTCATTTCCCTAGTTCTCTTCTGGCCCTTCGTTATTTGCAGGTAAACAATCTCTGCCCCTCCTCCCCTGCAAAGGGGGTGAATACAAGTGCTGCTCTGAGTGACATGTCTGACTACTGGGATACTCAGCAGCATGCTGTATGTGTAAGCCTCAGCCCTGAGTCTGTGCTTCTAATGGTAGAAGGGGTTAATTTTTCCTGAAGAATCTAGTGGGTGGGATACCAAATACCCTTGTTTTCTGTGTCTTTGGGACAGTCGAGACCGACAAAATCACTGGACCAAGAAGAGTTGGCAGCCGAGGGTGCTAACAGTTGGTGAAAAAAATATCCTCCGAGAAACTCTGGTACCTTCCCATAAAATTTTTCTACCACCTCTCTACATAAAATTGGTATTGATGAAGCAATTCGTAAAATCACTTCCAAGAGATGGAGAATTCTTCAAATACTTGGTCACCAAGTTTCCAGGCCTGTCGGAGGAAAAATTGAAGGAAGGTGTGTTCATCAGGACCAGACATTAGAAGGCTTATAGTTGATCAAGAGTTTGTCAGTACCATGACGGATCCTCAAAAAGGGTGGATTGCATTTAAAGAAGTCATACAGAAATTTTTAGGCAATAACAAAGATCCTCACTACAAAAAGATCGTCGGACGAATGCTGAAAGCATTTCAAGCTTTAGGTTGCCTGATGAGTTTAAAAGTGCATTTCCTCCAGTCCCACCTTGACTACTTTCCTGAAAATTTTGGAGCTGTGAGTGAGGAACAAGGTGAACGATTCCACCAAGACATTAAAGAAATGGAAAGGTGATACCAGGGAAAATGGAGCATTACAATGATGGCAGACTACTGTTGGATGCTCCAGAGAGACATTCCAGATGCTACACACAAGCGTAAATGCACCAAGAGGAGCCTCACAGGGAAGAAGAATCGAATTTAGTGTGTGTAGGTGAGCTCATTTCAGTTCAAAAAAGGATTTTCATGAAAAAATTGTAATTAGACTTTATTTTATAAGTCTATTTCCATTTATTTTGAGGTATAGCCTTATTTAACATAGTTACCTAAATTGTCAGGAAACGTGATGTCCTATGACAAAATGGAGGTCATTTTCAGATTCAGCGCACAAAAAAAACAAAAATTATGTGGAATAACCAAAACAGCTCTTGAAAAAAAATTTTTTTGCAGACCTGTTTCATTAACCTTCATGCATGGAATACATGAATGTAAAAAAAACCTTGAGAATTGTGTTCCCATGTTTGCAAGAGCTCTGTTCTTTAATCGACAATCGGCGGGTGCCGAACAGCCATTCACCGGGACTCGCAGATTGGTTTCTGCTCTTCGTGTCCACAGCAGGCGCGAATGCACCCCCTATGGCTGAAGTGCAAAATCATGTATGTGTGTATGTATATGTATATATATATGATTTTGCACAGGAGGACCGCCCCTGTAGCAATAAAACTGCTATAGAGCTTTTATAGAACTTTTATATAAGTTTTATCTTCCCAAAGAAAAATACCCAACACTTCACAAACATGGATTATTCAGGTCATCTGTTTTTGGCAGCACCTATTTGTGAGCAACTATTTTTAACCCTTTCCCTGCCAGGTCCG